GTGTCACAGACGGATGGTTGAAGGAAGCTGCCGGAGGGATTAAACCGTCGAAAATCATGCCGGAGGCAGCACCCATCACCGATTCGCACAACCTCAGGTGAGGTTATAAAAACTAATTTTGGACTTCCAATTTTTTTTTTTCTTATGCTTAAGAAAAGTGCACGTGCAATATTTCAGTCGTTGAAATACGCGTGGTTCACATTAAGGCAAATAGAGATGTCAAAATTAGACCTTTGATAACTTTAAATGTTTTGTTTAAGTAACGTTGAGGATGCTAATAAATTATTAAACGATTATAGTACTTGTTTAAATACTATGCGGTTTAACTAGAATTATTGGACTTGAAGATGCTTAATTATAATCAATAACTGGGTTTTACTAGTTGTTTTTATTCAGAGTAATGTAAAGTTTTTGGTTTTGTGGGGATATGGATTATGAAATAATGTTGGGTTTGTTTTGGAGTTTCCAGGATGTTTGTAGGGACATGGAATGTCGGAGGGAAGTCACCCCACGGGGGTTTGAACCTAAGAGATTGGCTAAGATCACCAGCTCCTGCTGACATCTACGTTCTTGGGTAAGTACTTGCTCTTTTCTCTTTGTCCCAGTTAGTAGAAAGTCTAAACGGAATAACCTCTATGGCGATTTGGGTCGTTATTTTTATGATTAGGGCATGTAGTCGTGTAGAGAAAGTTGTCTTATTGCTAAAGGCATCAACTATTCAACACGGTCGTGGGGAGTGAGCGGACCGCGGTTGACGCCGTTTTAACATGCTTCACAGCTCCTAACCAGCTTGAACTTTCCCCCACTTGGAGTCTTTCAGGCTATTTGCTTATCTTCATTTACCCTTCTGCCCTTACCTTCAACCTCTTGTTTACTTGTCTGAGAAGAAAATAGTAAACAGATAAAATAAGAAAGTTTTTTTGAAGAGTTAAGAGTATTGTGGTAATTTTGGAATGATTTGCTAAAACGGATTTTCCTGCCTGTTTAGGTTCCAGGAAATTGTTCCTCTAAATGCAGGCAACGTGCTTGGAGCAGAGGACAATGGACCAGCTGCCAAGTGGCTTTCCCTTATTCGTCAAGCTTTGAATAGCAACAGAAGTGACCAAGAACTTGCTCAGTATTATTGCAATTCCACTGAATCAAGGAGTCCATCCTCACCGCAGCTTGAGCAGCAAGCAGGCCTCAAGCCTAGGATCAGCTTCTCTGACTTACTCTCAATAGAAGATGAACTTGGGAAAGAGGATTTTGAAAGATTGCTATACTTGAATTCAAGTTCAAGTGAAGAAGGCTCCCCTAGCCCCAGTTGTATGTCTGGTAGTCCAAATCAGCAACGCTTCTGCCTAGCTGCAAGCAAGCAGATGGTAGGGCTTTTTTTGTGCGTGTGGGTTCGAGCTGATCTTTACAAGCATATAAGCAACCTTAAAGTCTCATGTGTTGGCCGTGGGATCATGGGATATCTTGGAAACAAGGTCAGACATTGCAGTTATTCTACACTGTTTTTGACATGTTGGTCACGAAAAGAAATATATCCAGCATTTACAGCAGTTAAATTATAGTTGTATTAATTTTAACTTCTTTTAATTATTTGGTAACAGGGTTCAATATCCATTAGTATGACATTGTACCAAACAACATTTTGCTTTGTTTGTACCCACTTGACTTCTGGGGAGAAAGAAGGGGATGAGATCAGAAGAAATTCTGATGTTGCAGAAATATTAAAGAGAACAAGGTTTTCTCAATCGTTTAGAGATCTATTAAAGAGAACAAGGTTTTCTAATTCATATAGGGATCTTAGACAGCCACTTCCTCCAGAGAGCATTTTAGACCATGAGTGAGCCCCCTTAGTCACACTGATTAAAATCACCTGAATATCTTGTAAAATTTTCACACTTTTTTATGAGACTCCTAATGTTTTTCCTTGTCTGTATTTGTTCAGCAAAATTATATGGTTAGGGGATTTGAACTATCGGCTTGCTGTGGGGTCTGGTGATACACATGAATTACTCAAGAAGAATGACTGGCAAGCACTTCTAGAGAAGGATCAGGTGAGGGAGGCTAATCTAGACAAGCTTTGTTCTGTTTTCAATCTACACAAGGCTCTTATTACAGACGTGGTGGTTTGGTAATCTGAATGCTTTGGCCCCTGACTTTGTTTGGCACCAGTGTCATGTGAAACAAAGAGAGTAGAAAATTGACCTTGAAATATTTTATTGTTTATTTTAGATCTAACGATGTGGTATTTCCCTTACTATTTTGGCAGCTAAGGATAGAACAAAGGGCTGGTCGGGTGTTTAAAGGATGGGAAGAAGGGAGGATATACTTTGCCCCCACTTACAAATATCTCACCGATTCTGATGACTATGTCGTCCAAATATCTAACTCGAAAGAAAAACGGCGTACTCCTGCCTGGTAACGTTCTAAATTTATGTCCCGTTCACCTCCATTTTCCTTAATTATTGATAATTAAATACATCAATTAGGACTAAATTAATTCCAAGTTGTGCATTCATTAAGGTTGCTTGTTGGAAGCAAATAGTTGCCTTCATCATCCTTTAAAAAAAGTATATATGTTGATATTTATATAATTAGAATATATATTTGCGTTGTATTTGATTACTACAGGTCTGTTCCTACTTTTGGCAGTTTTCGTTATTATTATTGTTTCGATTTTGCTTGCTCCATATTTAATGAACCTTGCCGACCCACTGAACATGACTCTGTACTAATCTTAGTTGTTCATCACATTTACCCTAAATCTATTCTGCTGTAGGATTATTTAAATTTAAGCCACAACAATTAATTAGTACTACCATGTCTTAGAACAAACAAAGGTATACCTGGGGAACACTAATACAATTATTAGCAGTTGTTTCTGTTAATAAAAGCACATGTTGCCCTTTTTGAAGAGATCATTTGCTGGATAAATCTCATAAGCTAAGGTTAACAATAGAACTTTCATACTCAACTGTTCACATTAATTATTAGGAGGTCGGCCAGTGAGATTTATCCTCTTTCCTTTGAACAAGATTGTAACCTTAAAGACTGAGTGACCGACCATGTTTCTAATTAATGTTCTTGCTAAGACTGGTGGAACCTTAAGCGTTGACATGCTGTCTTCACTTAGTTTAATCATTAAATGTTCTTCTTGTTGCTTTCTAAGTAAAATCGATACTGAGATACCAAACCTAAGCAATTTTATGGAAATGATTGCAGGTGCGACAGGATACTGTGGAAAGGCGAAGGACTTAAGCAGATTTGGTACTCAAGGGGAGAGTCTAGGTTCTCAGATCACAGACCAGTTTATTCCCTCTTCTCAGTCCATATGAATCCAGCAAACAAGCCCATCTCCACCGCTAGATCCTGCTCACCAAGATTTTCAGCAAAAACTGCCTTGTCATCAGCTTGTGTGGCCAAGGTCCAAGCTGAGGAACTGTTGCTAATTCCCAGGGCACCAAGCTGCATTAATGCAACTTCCAGGTTTTGACACACCTCCAACTTTCTGTCCCAAAAATGGCCCACCAATAGTGCAGTTACAGCTGTAATCATCTGACAGAGTCAGGCCGATGCGAAAACCGATAAGCATCCCCTGACACCTGGGTTGCACCGCTCCCGCATTTTTAACGGGTTGGAACGGCGTGCTGGGTTAGTGATGATGTTCATGATGGATAGTTCTGCCTGCTACTCGAAGCGTTTCTTGTTGCAAGAATCAGAAGAAAAAGAACATATAATAGTTCTAAATGCATGTGGATTTTGGTGTGCATGCCTGATTTTTGACAAACGAGCTTCGGGGGATTCTGTGAATATGTTCAGAATCAGAAGGCAGTGAATGATTAGATGGGGTTAGAAGCGAAGCAGGCCACTTCAGAAGCAAAAAGGAAAACCTCAAAAAAGGAGGATGGCTCAGTTCAATCTCTGGGCCTTCCATTGTCATGCGTGTTTATTAATTCCTTGAAGCTAACCATGTCCTTGTTTAACTGGAAGAAGCATGAATGCATTTCAGCTTTTTGCAGTGAAAAAGCGTTCCATTTGTTCTCACTCTGATGCTGGTAGAGAATATGTTGAGTTGAGAGAGAGCTTTGATTAAAGTGAAAACGTGTAAATGAAAAGAGAAAAAAAATTGGGTTTTGCGGAGAAAGTTCTGGCAGAAGAACTTTGATTAAAGCAAAGGCATTCTCATTGGTGAATTTAGTATTTGTGGCTTTTGGTGAGGTTTTCAGTTTTGTCTGCAATTTAGCTGGCAATTCCCATGTTCCGTTCCTTCTTTGGATGCATTCCTCTTCTGGACTCAAGTCTAGCAGTCATTGTCTAACAATTAAATTCCTTCAATCAATCTTTAACCGTCGCTCTCAACTTAATACAAAGGCCAATGCCCGATCCTAGCCACGGAAAACTTCATATCTAGGTCTTCAATTTCTAGAGACAGCACAAAATGTTCCTGGCCACCCGTTCAGGGCAAAAGGAGAGCCACATAACCAGAAACCGTAGGCTCAAAGCGAGCCGTAGACTGCAGAGACTAAATGATATATACAGCCGAAAACAAGATCTTACAAGCTAGTGGACTCTCTCCTCATACTGTTACAGGTATTTGATGCATTATGAGCTCGTTGAGAGGCAAATAAAGTGCCAACTTTGGAGGGTTTATACTTATGACGCAGATCATATATGTAGTATTTGAATATTATCTTTATTCCTTTATAAGATATCCGAATCTTGATTAATGAGGTCGACTAAGGCAAACTATCCACTAAATATATATTACTGTCATTCTTATTTATTATTTTATATGTGAATCAATGTTTAACATGAAATTAAATTTTACTTTTTTTTTTTATAAACGATCCAATAGGTAACTTGCCATCTGGGCCCTAATTTGGTCGCTCATATGTTGAACTGCAGTACTGGCCTGGCCCAACCCTCCAATTCCTTTTATGGGCTCCACTAGAGCTTATTTGGGCCTTCAAAATTAAAAAAATAATGATGTTATTGTATTAAGCAAGCCGAGGTAGTGGAGCTAGTCTTCTTGGGCACTTAAAGTTAGTCGCAGGTTTTTTGAAGTGGCGCCAAACGCGCGCACGGAGAGATCAGATCTGACACAACCTAAGTACACGTGTACGGTCGGAATAAGGCCTCCCACCAATTGTGATCGTGCAGGCCACCATCTTATATCATCCCTTCCATCAAAATCCGCAAAAATCGTTTTTTTTTTAAAAAAAAATCTTTCCTGGTCTCATAGATCTCGCTGCAATCACCGTCCGTACAATCTCCGGTATTAGCTCCGGTGAATCACTGAAGTAAAGTTTTCCGCTTATGCGATCACTGATCGTTGCTGCGTTCGCAAATAAATCTATCGCCTCATTGCAGGTATTTCCGCAATGAAGATCTCTCCTGTGCCCTTTTTGTTTCCCTTTTCTAAATCGTAGACCGCGTAAAACTAATTTTAGGGTTAGGGTTCTACGCGTATTATTTTAATTCTCAGTCGTCCGTTTATTTTAGAAAATTTGAGGAAAGTCTCTACTTGAAAGGTTTTGCTATTTTGGCATTAATTAAAATAAATGTTGATTTTGATAAGTGAACTTACCAGTGGTTGGCGCTAGAAAAGTAATAGATTGTACAGAGCAGGTGAGATTAGGATTATTTGTTTTCATTGTTTTTGATTGATTAATCCCTGGCATTTTGCAGATAATTTCTTTAGGGAGTGACGGTTTTAGAATTCTCCACGAAGTTTAACTGTATCTGCTTCAGCCAGGAGTTGAAAAACTTTTCTGTTTATTATCAAGTTTGTGTATTTAATCCTTTGTTTAAAGCCACGTGATGAATTTTTGAAGTGTTGTGAATATAGTTAACTGTTGGACTAGGACAGCAAAGTGGAATCAAGAATTGAATCCAGCATAAATTTTGAAGTAAAGCAAGAAAAATGGTATGTTTTCTATGTTCTTAAGGAAATTTGGATTTCAATTTGGATCTTGTTGTGATGCTGTTTATCAGTTTATATGTACCTTTTTGAATTGATTGAGAGGTTGAATTTGGTGTGGATTAAATGTTCTCTAGTTGCTTATATGTTATGGTAGTCTTGTGTAGGTAAGACTTTTTAGGCTTAAAATTCTTTCTCAACTGAAATATTGTGCCTTTTGTAAAAAATCTTTATGCTTTGCAGATTGGATTTTCCAACTAATTGTTGACAAGTTGAATTAGAGTTATGTTCAACATTTTCTAATTTATCTATGATCTATAGGATTTTATCATTTTGTCTGTTGTTGCTTTGTGGAAAAGGATGAATTTTGGAAGTTCTTGAGATTAATTGCAATTAACATATTTGTAAGTCTTCTTAATTGTTGTAAATGAGTGTTGTAGGTGGAGGGCTACTGAGGAACGAGATATATCTAGGAGTGCAGAAAAATGTCATATGACCATTGTTCCATTTGCTATATCATTTGTGTATAATGCCTACTTGCTTTCTTGATGGCATGTAGTCAAAATTGGGGATACTAGCTCAATGAAAAAGCTTTGACTGTTATTGTTATTTTCTTCTACATGACTTCATGGTCTTGACTTGTTTCTGATTAGTTAGGTTTTGCATGTGACAGTCTTTCCAGAATCAGGGCTTTTGGATGACGAAGGGTGCTGGTTGTTTAAATGATGGTGAGATGGCTTATGATAATTCTTCTAGAATTGAGCCCAAGCGTTCTCATCAGTGGTTCATGGATGGCCCTGAGACAGACTTATTTCCTAACAAGAAGCAAGCAGTTGGAGTTCCGACTACCAGCTTATTTTCTGGAGTGTTGAATTCACATGTTTCTCAATGGGGAAATTCTTCCAGTTTTCATTCAATCTCTGGGCATTTTGCCGAACGATTATTTGATACTGAAACATCTCGAGCTGTGCATTTTGATGATCAGGGCATTTCATCAGGTAGCACAGAGAAAGTTGACATGGGAAGAAAGGTTAATGAAGATCTATTCACAAATGATTCATCATTTGGTTTATCCATGTCCCATACAATGGAAGATCCCAGATCTGGGTTAAATTATGGGGGACTCAGGAAGGTAAAAGTTAGTCAGGTGAAGGACTCTGAGAATGTCATGTCTGTGTCAATGGGGCATGCATATGATAGGGTGGATAATAATTCCGTGTCAACAGATCATGGTTATAGCAAGGTGGAAGATCGTAATATATCAATGGGTCTTGCTTATAACAAAGGGGATGAGAACCTCATGTCTATTGGTGACACCTATGAAAGGGAGAATAACATTTTCATATCAATGGGACAATCATATAACAAGAGTGAGGATAGCGTTACTGTTGGTCAAACGTATAAAGAAAGTGCCAGTGCCATTGCAATGAGCAATACCTTCGATAAGGATGAAAACAATTTCATGTCCATGGGCCAAACATTCAACAGGGCAGATGATAATTCCATAACTGTGGGTCACACCTTTGGTAAAGGAGATGACAGTGCCATATCCATTAGTCATAGCTACAACAGAGGTGACAACAATAATTTGTCAATTGGTCCGTCCTATAGTAAGGGAGAGAGTACTATTATCTCTTTTGGTGGCTATGAGGATGATGAGGATACAAGTCAAACGGGAAGGCTCATATCGAGCTATGATTTATTGATGGGTCAGCCCTCTGTCCAGAGTTCTGATGCACCAAATGAGAAAGAGATGGTTAAATCCAATGCTGATGCACTTGTTCCCACTGGTAATATAACTGCCTCTGGAACGGAAGTTTCTAGGAAGAAAGAAGACCCAAAAACAGCAAAAAAGGTTTCTTCAAATAATTTCCCTTCTAATGTCAGAAGTTTGCTATCAACTGGTATGCTTGATGGAGTTCCTGTTAAATATATTGCCTGGTCACGGGAGGTAAATCTCATTTCATGTTTTCCTGCTTTAGTTTACCTTACTATCTGGTGACATGCCTGCTTCTTTTTATGCACATTAGAAAGAGCTACGTGGTGTTATAAAGGGTTCTGGGTATCAATGTGGCTGTCAGACATGCAATTTTTCTAAGGTGGGGTTTTTTCAGTTCTACTTTTTGTATCAAGGTAATTGGTGAGGCAAAGTATCTGTGCACTGATCAGCTGGTTTCTACTTGTCTTACAGGTGATTAATGCATATGAATTTGAGCGACATGCTGGTTGCAAAACAAAACACCCAAATAATCACATCTACTTTGAGAATGGGAAGACCATTTATGGGATTGTTCAAGAGCTTAGAAGCACACCTCAGAGTATGTTGTTTGATGTTATGCAGACTATAACTGGTTCATCTATTAACCAGAAGTCCTTCCGGCTTTGGAAAGGTGATGCAAACTACTGAATTTGAATGTCTTTTCTTTTTACCGCTCCTAACTTTTGGTTATTTACCATAGACATTAATGCTCCAACATTATCTATTTTCCAATGATAAAGATAATTAAAAATAAATGCATATTTTATGAGCAATCTTTGTTGACAAAAAATGTTTCCTACTTGTGTTGCTCTTTCTTTTTCAGAGTCCTTTCTAGCTGCCACTCGTGAACTTCAGCGTATATATGGGAAGGATGAAGGGAAAAAATTATCATAAGCAACCATGTTCATTTGTAAGGTAGGGTCATTTCTGTTTTGCGCGTAGGAAGTCATCTTTTTGACGAGATTTTGTGCTTGTTAATGGTGACAGCACCACTAACTTAGCATGGATGTTTTTCTAATTTGAGGGACAGGGATCGTGTAAGAGATCAATGCCACACAAAATAGGTACTTTATCGTGTCTTTGGTTGTATAAACATGTAGTCCATACCTTAATTGAAGAGAAAAAGATGATATTTAAATGGTACTTTTTCTTGGAAAGGGATTTTTTTATTTTCTTTTTGGCGGTTCTTCCTCTAAACCTAGCTGTTCCCCATTTGTGTATCATCTGCCTTAAGATTTTACTATTAATTGGCCTTATAGAAGTTACTATCACTGATGCATTCAAACCTTAACCGTTTGGATAGCAGCTAGCTATTTAATTGCTGAAGCTTTGAAATACATTCCACACTCTAATGGACCTTGCAATGCATTCCACCCTCTAATATCTGTATACCCCTTTTCTTCTGTTTCTCTTTCTGACCACTACCCCAAGGCAAACCTCAAAGCAGTAGTTATATCCTATTTTACTTTTATATTTGGTTAGAAAGAAAATAAAGGGGAGGGAAAAAAGTTAAGAAAGAAAGGAAGTTATTTTTCCTTAAGTTTAGTATGAAGGATGGAAGGGAAAGAAAGAGGATTGAATGAGTGTTTTTCTCTCATTTTGGAAGGATTGAATTTGGAAGTAAGGAAAAAAGTGAAAGTCTTATCAATTTTCTCTTCCTTTTACTTCTCTCCTTCCAAATGACAAAATGAAAGAAAGTAGCTTTTCTTTCCACCCCCTTTATCTCCTTTCTGTTTCTCTTTTAATAAATATAGTAACTGAAATGAGTTTCTTGGAGGGCGTGATGGCCCAATCCAAACACGCAGAGAACTGCTGAACCTGGTTTGCGGTCGGAGAGGGTTTGGATTCATGTGTATGTTGTCAGGGCAGCATCATAAAACATTTTTAAGATAGGAGCATACCCAATGGGTCCTAATGCATGAAAAAGTTTTGAACCAGGTCTATGGAAGTTAAGGACTTGTTGCTGCAACTCCCTTTTCTAGCTTAGACCGTATCTATCATCACTTTGTAATTGCCTTGTGGAAATAAACTGATCCTAATATAGTATGGTTCAGGGTGGTTTTATGGTTTTGCCCATTTCTATCTTTGGTTTGTTTGCAACTTTGTATTCAGCCTTTGTTATTATCAACTAAACCACTAGAAGCCAAACTACTATAAAAATCATAATACAATGGGCCCTAACCTTGGTGTGACATAATATGTTTAACCCCCAATATTTCTTTACTCATTGGAGGAGGAACCCTTGGCCTTTACCCATTGTATTGGTGTAGTGATTCTGCTCTCATCATGCACCTTATGCTATCAATTTCATGCAGATTATTTTGAGAAAAAGAAATTGTAAAGAAAACTCCATTAGATTGAATGATTACAGATACTCGATCAAATTTATCCGCTGGGGAGAGGGGGAGGGAATTGGGCTGATGATTGATCAAATCCTGCATCATGATTCATGACCTTAGCCGATAATATTTTTTTAGTGGAAAGTCATATCGTTGGATGGATAGTTACTTTTGAATCGGAAACCACTACCATTCCATAATTGCTAGTGGTTTCCCCTGTCTCTTTAGAGTAGTGGATGTTAAGTTGAAATCAAATCCCGTAAGCTTTAGGGGACGGTAATTCTAGACCGGAACTAAGTCGCTTTTCTCATGTAATTTTTCGTCCCTGATTGAAGTTTCTCTGCTGGGCGCATCAATTATGATGGCCTGATGATCAAAACTTTCCTTTTCTTCCTTAGCCATGTCTATTTTAGCTGGTTCGATTTGCTGCTGGATCAATGGGGGTGGAGACTTGTACTCCTTGCTTTTACCCCAAAGCACGAGATATAGACCCACAATTATGATGATAGCTCCAATCACCCTGTTGAAACACGAGATCAGTTTGTTTGTTTTTCTTTTTATTCCTCCTTCTCTTTAGACAATTGTTATAGTAATATGAATATGGAGAGTACCTTCCCAGATACATTTGTTCTGCCAGAATGAAGGTAGACATGATGGCTACAATAACCATGCATAGGGGGCTAAAAGCTGTAACAAACACTGGACCTCTGTCTTTCATTATCACCCCTTGAATGTAATAAGCAAGTCCCGAACATACAATACCCTGCAACCATAAAAGTAAAATCAGTTTCTATAGTTTCAGGACTCCAATAGGTGGTGAAACAGTGGTAAATATGATGGAAATCAAGTTGGGTTTTTGAGACTTGAGAATGATTTTTAATTTTTTTTCCCCCTAATCTTGATTTACAGGAAATCCAAATGCATTTCCTAAGTGAATGGGTAGGTAAGCGTCGTTACACTGTAAGCAGCTGTCAGTAACTTGGTGTCCCATTTAATAGCCCAGATGGTAGCGTTTCCTCCCTCCATAATCAAAGCAGCTATGGTACCCTCCAGCGTTCCCAACAGGCATATCCAAGCTGTCAGAGAAAGCTCGGCAGGATATGTTTCCAGAGTGACTGCCTATAAAAGCAAAACAAACACAGATTTAGACCATGGTTAAAGGAAAATACATACAAGATTTTAGTTACAGCAAAAAAAAAAAATTGTATGTACTTACTTGCAGAATCACGAAACAAGCATAGCTGAAACAGCCAACTGTGATCATCAGACCTCCCTTAATCGTATGATGGATATCGGTCCCATTTTGGGCTGCTGCTTGATGATTGGAACTTCCTTTCGTCCAAAATAACTCAAGCACTGGTCCTTTCATCAGTGTCATGACCATGGCTCCCGCAACTGTCGCTAGGGTTCCGACTACCTTGCCATGGCCGCGGAATGATCTTAAGTTTACCTTCTCAAGCCTGTAGAGGACGTACGTAAATTTTAGGAAAATTAGCTTTAAGAATTATAATCATATGATGTGCAGCTTCTAGCAAAGATTTCGCTTCTGTCTTTCTCTGTTTCTACCTTAAAACCCATGCCATTACGAAGGTAATGGCAGGAAGAATGTTGTACATGGCAGCCGCAAACGTTGCAGTTGTGTACTTCATCCCCACGTAATACAAGTTCTGGTCAATGACTGGCCTGCCAGAATTCAGATAAAACAGTTGTCAGATCTTATTGTGTATAAAGTGTAAAAGAGAAAACTAGATATTTTAGTTCGGATAATTACTCCAGTAAGCCGAGCACCATTATCTTGATGAAGATTGGAAGTGTCATCTTCGGCCTCACTTTCCTGTCAAAAAGAAAAAGTAACTTTCCCTGTCAGTTTCCCTCTATTTTACAAACATGGCACTGTTACATGCATGCATGGTTTTCGTGAGAGAGGAGATACTTGTCGAGAACGGCGGCGAAAGGAGCCATGACGACGGTGGCAATGGCGTGACGGTAGACGACGAGAGCATAATTGCTCATCCCCTGGTTGAGTGCAGCCTTAGACAACACATCCATTCCGGCAAGCCCAACTTGCAAGAAAATTGCAGCGAATAATGGCTTGAACCTACCCAAAGAACCATGTCCTTGATTATTCTCCATTACTCTGAACTATACGTGTACTGCAGCACCCTTATGTTTTCCAGTTCTCAACTTATAGAAAACACAGGAAGAAGTTAATTAATTCATTGATGCACTCATGAGGAGAATTTCAGGTATCTGTAACCTCCTATTTATATTCGTAAGTTGCTCCACTTAATCGCATATTCCATCGAACTTTGTACCACCCCATGACTCCAAGTCGATTTTCTGTTGCAAACCAATCATTACAAATAGGCCCCTCCTTTTTCCATCAAAGACATGTACGTTAGCAGCATTATTGACTGTTTCCTTTAATTTTTGTACATGTCAGTGCCATTATTTTATTATTATTTTTGTTGCCTTTGCGTGGTTGAGGAGCCAATGAACTGGTGGAGTTGCTTTTGTGAGTTTTTTTGCCCCCAAAAATGGTTTTTTAAACGGGGTTTCGTGACTGGTCTGCATACATCCATGAATTACAACATAAGAGTCTGAAAAAAGAGGGGAGATTCCCGTGGCTGAGTGCGTATGACATCCACTCTCAGATGAACAGAGAAGTTGTTGTCTTGAGAGGAAGAAGGTTGTTTTGCTTTGTTTTCTCTTTTTCTTAATCAGTTAACCTTTTTCAATTCGGAGGGATTGGGTGGGCAAGGCAAGGCAGGCCAGTCTTTCTGCATCAAGTATTTCTTTTGTAGCCCATAGATGAGTCTTAAGCCAATTTTGCTTATGCGCATTCCACTACTCAAAAGGAGAATGTGGATAGAACGAGAGTTGCCTTATGAGAAATCTAACTCCATTATTGCAGGAGATAAGACCCTTTTTTTTTTTTGTTACCAACATGAAGATCTCTGTCAGATATCTCTCTTTCTTTCTTTCTTTCTTTCTTCTGCTTTTCTTTTCATTTGTTTGTTTGTTTGAATTGTTCTTCCAAGGACCAGTCCAAGGTAAAAAAAAAGAAAGGGGAAAAGCCTAAAAGGTTGCATTGGGGGAGGATGTCAAGTTAATGCCCTCCATTTCATGGCTTACGCTCCCACTTGCACAGCTTGTTTCCTTGTGCTTTTATGTGTTGAGCACCAACTCCACAATCAAATAGTCCAATTATTTCTGCTTTAAAGGAAATGTGGGTCTGTGTGTGGAAAACTTGTCTGGTGATTATCCAATCACTCCCACTTATAACCTTATGAATTTGTGGTAGAAAATTACACGTGTGGTCGTAAAGCTACCCAAAAATATAATAAAAACACAGAAAGAGAGAAGAAAGCGGCTTTCCGAGCCAACCTGAGCGACCCCAATCCAACTCACTTACCTATTATTAATTCCAAATGTTCCACAAGCAAGCAAAAGTCATTTACCATAAACATTATTTCTAGAAAACGATTATAATCTCCTAAGTCTAACTTCGAATTTATTTAATTCTCAAATATATCGAATCAGATACTAATTCTTCATCCGACTGTTCATCATTATGATTCAAGAGTTAGTGAATAATACACTAAAGAGTAAATCAATAACCATCTAGCAATGGATAGGATTCTGTTTAGGTTTATAGAGTAGCATCCGTCACTTGTTCTTGGCTTAGGACCCCGACAGAATCACTACACGTAAAATCCCACCACGCCCGTTGAGGAATATAATCCTACCAATCCATTTAATATGGGTTGTGTGTCACGATTTAAGGATAAAAAATTTAAATAAGTCTAACTCAGAATATTGTGCTATAATGCAGAAACAAATATAAACAAAACAAAACTTGCTGAGATTATATTATAATTATATTATTCTTAAAAAAAAAACAAATAGCTAAGATTTTAATCAAAATAACCTATGAATGTTAGAATACTTGAATGTAAAGACTATGGGGCAATTGACTATTTTTTTTCCTAAAGCCCTAGGGTCCTATTTGTAATAGGTTTTCCCTAATCTAAACTCCTAAACTAGGGTAGATAACAAGCTATTTAAGGTTCCATTTGATAATCGTAAAATAACTTGCTAAAAAAAAAATTTTCTTTGTAAAGTATTTTACATAAAAATTTAATGTTTTCCAATTTTTGGATAAACAATTGAAAATATTTTCGATTGTTTGGATTTGTTTGTGAAAAATATTTTTCACCATCATCAAATTGTAAACAAGCTAAATACTCAAATAAGCTATTGATCTATGTCAAAAAATCAATTCATCTCCTATCCTTTTATTACGTTTAAATAAATCTCTGAATTTCTATTTTGAGTCAAATAAACCCGTCTCTCTAATCATTGACTAACTTCTATCAGTCAACGATACATGTAACACTTTTATATCATGTCATTTACCACATGACAAATGACAAGATATAAAATATTATTTATTAGGATTTGTATGCTTACTTTTTTACTTATTTACTCAATTCTAATCAATAATATTTAATGACACATCATCTACCACATGACAGATGACATAGTATAGAAATGTCACATGTATTATTGATTAATGGAAGTTAATTTAAGGAAAATGACTTATTTGACTCGAAATAAAAATTCAAGAACTTATTTGAATGTAATAAAATAATAAGAGTTAAATTGATTTTTTTGATATAATTCAAGACCTTATTTAAATATTTAATCTAAAAATTTTATAAATATCTAATTCTCCAACAACTCTATAAAAATGAAACTATCAATATTGACTACGATCTTATCCTTTGTCAGTTAATTCATTGCTTTCAACTTCAATATCTTTTATTGAAAGTAAAGGGCACCCTTTTGCACGATAACAGAATCCTCATTTTCATTATCACCATCTTCTAACACTTCACCCTCATTTTCTTGTCTTTGGATCTCCTTCAAAGTTGAAAATTTATCAAACCCATAGGAATTCTCAAGCTTAACAAAAAGGGTATCTTTCAAAGTGGAATGCTTTATGGTTCCTGCTGAATCATTTCTAGTGGAACTAGTTAAGCTGTTTATAGTTACGGGTTTATGACCACCCAGCTTAACAAATGATTTGTTAAACTGAAAAATGGGTTTCTTGATGAGTTGAAGGATTGGATTTGACGATCCAAGTGAAAAAGAAAACCAAGAAGATATTGTGAAAGAAAATACCAATATCTTGTAGATTTGAAGGAGAAACTTTTCTGTCTCTCCATCAATGTAGCTCCGACTAAGGAAGCTTTACCACCATGTCGGTGGAAGAACCCGGGGGGAGGAGGAAGGGACGACAGATATGGGACATAAAGCTAAGGACTTAAAGGCAGGGGTTTATTTTTTGCTGGTGGAAATTGTCTTACCCCATGAAAAATCCCATTGACTTGTAAAAATATTTTTATTTGGATTTCATTTTCAGTCATTCAAAAATAACTAAGTCTAGCAAAGACTTTTCGGAAAATTTTTTACACCAAAACAAACGGATCATAACTAAATAAATATTCTGCTATTAGCCTAAACTCCTAAAGCAAGTAAAATAAACAATAGTTATACATAAGAATTCTAGCCCTAGTCAAACTCTTCCATGCAAGATGTTCCCTGCGACTTGAGATTCCTGAATTCCTTATGTAGTTTGGTGGCCCACAGTTGTCTGTGGCCTGTTGGTTGTCGATCGTCCGCAATCGATATTGGTCCGAGGTTGATTTTTGGCCCTGGGAAGCGTGTGGCACTTGTTTGTGCTGTTGTCTCAACTAGTCTTACGGTTCTGCGATGCGAACTGTGACATTCTTCTCCACTCAATCTAGGCGACGCCCTCCTAGCCTCATGGCTTCTGTACATCACAAATCTTCAACTAGTTCCCCACGATAGTTGCAGATGTAATTGAGGCAGCCCCTTATTAGCTGTTTTTAATACTCTTCCAAGTTGGAACTTGTTTTGCCGTGTGGATGTTTAGGTCGCGATTGGCTTTCGATGTCCAACTACACGGCTCCCATGTACATGGTGTCAGCTCTTGCGGCATACATAGCACACAAGGAGTTTGAGCTTGGTGTTTGGGTCGTCGATCCAGTGCTAAAGCTCCTCCGTTGGTCAAATCGCCTAACCTGGAAGCTTCGCATTAACTTCTTGATATTTGTCTGCTAAAAACGTCACCTTTTGTGTAAGCTTTCGAACAACTTCAGCTAGTTGCCCTTCTTGTTAATACATAGCTCTCATCAATCCATCTAACCCCACGTTGCCGTGACTTAATTAGTCACTCTTTTGTACCATTCCATGCGAAGCTCATCACTGTTAGACTATGATTATTTTTCTTCTAAAGCCCCAGAGTCCTATTTATAATAAGTTTTTTCTAATCATAAAACCGATGTAGGATTAATGACTTCCATCTAAAAGTATGAAAGTTTTTCTTTGATATGGAATTTATGACTCCACCTATTGAGAGTTAGAGCATACTCTTCGATGTGGAATTTACATGATCCACACTAGGACCATGACACCCAAGATCGATTTTTGACCCTAAGCGGCGTGCGACACCTGTTTGTAAGTCCCAACCAGTCTTACGAACTGTGCATACAACAATTCTACCGACCGTGACATCTGGTTTAAGTTCTCAAACGCTTTAGATACACACGACTCTCATCCCAAATGATGCTCACGATAGGGACAAAAAACATATATTCAGATGATTTCGCATTAACAAAGTACCAAGAGAATCAATCCGATGATTTCGCATTAACAAAGGACCAAGAGAATCAATGTACCAGATTTATGTTCTCCAGATAGACACATCACACCTTTAATAATAAAAAGCAAAGAAATGAAGTGACATCCGATCCCATCCTTGCATTTGCAACGTTGGAAATGAATAATAACATACCACATCATAGAAGAGATTGTTCTTGAACACAATCGAATCGAACACATCTTTGTTTATTAAAGAAATTTTGATATATTGTTTGAAAACATAAACTTAAATCGAGCTCATCGTGTTGGTTTCCCTAGCCGTCACCAAATTACTAGAGCAGTCCTTAATTTCAACTCCATTTATCCAAATGGTAGAACAAATTTTCTTTCAAACACACAGGATGTTATTAAGGAAAAATAATCTAATATAATTAATTTTGCAAAATACCAAGGATCTAAAATTCACACCAAAGAGTAGCACATATGAAATAATGATAGGCAGAACAATACAAACACGAACATTATAGTTGTAACAAAATTAGTTTTCCCGGTCCAAAACGACTTCCTAGAGAAGAGAATGTACCCTTCAGATCTCATCCTCAACATAGTTTGTTCAAGACCCACAGCAAGCTGATTTTTGAGCAGCTGCTGCAGCCCCTGCCGCCTGGTCTGGTTGGTTAATTTTGATTGTCTGTGGCTGCAAAGGAAAGAAGAAAATAATAAAAATGACAAAAATATAAGTATTAAAAAATGTTAAAGAAATGGTTTTGCATAAATATCACAATTATGTATATTGACATGAAAAAGCTCATACTTCATGTTAAAGAAACCATACCTCAGCCCTCGAGTCACTATCTGCAAGTCTTTGCTTAATATCCCTGGCTATTGAAAAGAAAACCTCCTCAACATTTAAGTTTGTTTTTGCACTCTGCAAGATAGAGTTGCTCTTGAGCAAATTGGAAAAGATCAACTAAACATCAAAAGTAACTACAACATTCACAGTAAAAATTTACTTACAGTCTCAAAGAACTTGATGCCATATTCATCAGCAAGAGCTTGGCCCTTTGAGGTAGGAACAGCCTGAAAAATAAGTTCCCTGTCAACTTGACAAGAAAAATATCCAGCATGATATGGAAAACATAAGGGTAATAACATATGCATGCGAAGACAAGCACACATGTGCACATGGAAGAGAGAGAAAGAAACAGACCCTTTTGCTTTCATCCATGTCAGCCTTATTACCCACCAGAATCTTGTTGACATTGTCGGAAGCATGCTGTTCAATATTACGAATCCAATTTCTAATGTCTAAGCAGAAAAGGATATAAGTTCAGTCGATAAACATGACTATAATAAAGAAAGAATAAAAATTCAATCACTGGATAAGGAAGTATACTTTCAAGTTTCAACAATGCAGGAAAGTGAAATGCTCCAATAACGTGCAAAATTTTGGTGAAACCATTACAAACAGTTCTAAAGATTAAAAGGTTGATAGGATTGAACAACATATGTATGAAATCCATATTTCAAATGATAAAAGGTTTAGAAATTACTATTGAAAGATGACTCATCAGTCACATCATACACGAGCAAAATACCCATGGCTCCACGGTAGTAAGCTGCACAAAAGGAAGATATTACTTACGTCTGTGAACCAAAAAAGACTCTAGAAGACAATAAAATCTTGATGCATGGGAGAGAGTGCACATCTGGAGCAACAAAAGTAAAGCAAATATCCCCCATGCCCACTTCAAAAGGGTAAAAGAAGATAAGTGCCCCAAAAACAGATCAGGCAACCATATTCAGGGGTGGAAGGGGGGAGGGGGAAGATGAAAAAGCCTATGTAGTAGTAAAATTTTCAACCACCTGCAGAGATAATATTAATAGCAAACACCTTCAGTCTAAACTCAAAACACTAAGCAACAAGAATCTAGAAAATATGGGAGGCTAGGTATCTACAGAACTACATGAATTTCAATCCTAACCATCTGTTCTTTGTAATTTTACTTCCAAGTCCTATCATGCAGTTCAAGAGTACTACAATCAGTGGGTTGGAAAGTGTGAGAGGGACACCATGGAAGTATACAAACTCCTAATACCATTACAGACTAAACCAGAGAGAAAGAGAGACAACAACAACCTTGAACAGGGGATGTTAATAAATTTGAGAGTGAGAACAAATGGTAATTCACATCATCCAATGACACTCACAATTAACCCGCTGAAGTAAAGGAATGTCCAAGTCATGCTATAGCAAGTTATTTTATCAATCTGATAAGTTTGATTCAGATTAGACAGTTCATTTCTAGTCAGTGACACCTTCAAAAGAAGCCCAAAAACTAACCAGTCGTGATTGTTCGAAACCGCTCTTGCCCAGCAGTATCCCAAATTTGCAGTTTGATCCTTTTTCCATCGAGCTCTATAGTCCTTATCTTAAAGTCAATTCTGCCAGAGTAAACACAACCTTATTAAACCACATGCACTTCATAAAAATATTGAACAAACTTTTTTTAAAATGAGAAAGACCATTATACAGCACTAGAAAAACACTTACCCAATTGTCGTGATAAAACTTGTAGTAAATGAGCCATCAGAGAAACGCAAAAGGAGGCAACTCTTACCCACACCTGCACAACCAGACAAAAGTATAAGTAAAAAAGAGTTATTCAGAACTCAAATTCAAAAGAAAGTGCAGAATAACATGAAAACCTCCTTCAAAATCACTACAATACCACCTATCATCCCTAATTACAGGCCACTACAACTATTTGTGGCAGCAGATCCCTTGTATTAAGAAAACGTTCCCTCATGAAAAACTCCACGATATCCATCATCAGTAACACTACTGGACTCAGAGAATATTCCCATGGCAATGAGCTATATGAACACAGAGTACATCAACAAATATACAACCTAAAATATAAGACGAAAAAATGCCAGTTGTATAGATTCACCACAAAAGCACTAAAACAGACTTTTTTTTTCAATCAATCTCGCTTAACGCAATAAAATTTCCGTATTTAACATAACCTACAAACCTAAAATGAAGCTTAATCTAAGGTAATTAATGATCATGGAAATGCACATCACACGGTCTCACATCTAGGTTTTCTATATTTAGAAAATATAATCAAATCCTTTTAAAGAACACTTACATTTCTCAGAAACAATGTAGATTAACGAATAGATCGCATTTCATATCAAGAGACACATAAAAAAGAAAAGAAACAGTTACCGCTGTCGCCGATCAAAAGGAGCTTTATGAGGTAATCGTAATCGGCTCGAGCTCTTGCAGGTGGAGCAGCCATGGAAATAGAAGAAAATCTATCGAAACGAACAAATAAACCCTAGACCAAAAAGAAAAGAAAAATAAAAGGCTTCGACGTAAATAATGAATGTAAAAAAAGAAAAAAAAAAAGGTAAAAGAAATAGAAATAAATTGTTTTAATTTTATAGTGAATTGAAAGGAAAGCAATACCGGATCAGGGAAAAGAAGAGTGAGATCTGGTGAAAGGAGATGAGAGAAATGAGGAGGGAAGCGTCTCTGGTACGTCAGCACCGGTCGGCCGTTGGAAAAAAAGGTTTTTTTCTTTTTGAGAGAGAGGAAAAAAAAATTAAAAGAGAGAGTGTCGTCAGGAAATAAGTTATTGGATTCGACTCCCAACCGTTGGATTGATGTTTGGTGTTGAGATCTGTGTGGATCTAACGGACGCTTTTTTTTTTATTATTACTCGTCAACGGACAGAAAATAGCTGATTGAAGACAACGACTGGGCTTTTCCTTAGCTAACAATTAAACGGCACCGTTCAGCGAGTGATAGACACACTGGATTTGGGTATCTCAAAAGCAAGGATGCAGCAAGCAAAGAACGCACTTCGAGATTTAAGATGATGTTTTACAATTTAAATTTTTTTAAATTTCGATAAAAGAAACATATTTTCTTGCAAAAAATAAATAAATAAATAACTTTTTGTATTTTGTAAGTTAAAGTGCTTCAAAGTTAATAATAAAAATAAAATAAGAATATTTTAATCATTGAAAAAGTAAAACAAAATATTCTAAGCAGCAAGTACCATCATTATCTGCGCCAGGTTCCCAGCATTAAACCTGAACCGAGCTAAGTGAAGAATATAAAACGGCATAGGAAGTATAAATAAATGGAAAGGAAAGGAATATCAATGCCTAACACTATTCCCTATGGGGGACTACAATATCTAGAATGTCTACTCGACCGGCTTCCAGATATTTACCAGATTCGTCGTCGTTATTGATTAGTGTTTGGTTTATTATGCATTAAAAAGAATTAATTATTTATTATGTACTATACATGATTAGATAAAGAATATTTATTTTAATAGGTACATAAAATAATTTTCATAATAAATAATTATTTTTTCTTAAAACATATTTATGCGATTTAATGTAATATAAGCTCAGACTTAGCGAACCTATTAATACTTGGCCCAACCCAAACTTTTGCAACCTGCATTATTTTTCTATTTAAGTGTAATTCCGGGCCTAATACAAATGTCAAAGTCCCAAGACTTGGTCAAGTGGGAACAGGGATGGGCCAAACCGTGGGCAGGTGGTCAGCGAGGACAGTTGCTAAAGGTTTTCAATGGCGGTTTTCCCCTGGAGTTGTTGAGAAAACAATTTCAATTTTAAAAGAAAATGTCAAGCGAAATTTGCATCGGTCAATCAATTCCATGCCACACGGCAAAGGAAGACCTTCTAAAATCAGAGTCAGTTTGACGAACACCGCATAACTCCAAAACTTTTGGTTATTAAGGAGATTAATAGTCAAAGAAAAATAATGCATCCACATGCAGATGGCAACCTTTCAAGTATTAGGACCCGGCCAATGCCGTCTACCCGATTGCATAGTTTGCCATCAAAATCAGCATTTGATAATAATAATACTTTTCGTGTAGATGAATTTCGTAGCGCGTTTTTTGGCTATAAGAAATATGGTTTTTATTTATAAATTTTAAATAATTTTTATTATGTTTAATTAATTTTTTAAAATAATAATTCATTAATTATTATGAATCAAAATATTATTTGTCTTTCTATACCACATGATATGTTGACATATTATAATGACATATCAACATGATATAATAATATAATCATGTGATATTTTTTATTTTTACATTAAAATCATGTGAATGCTATCTCGTGAAAAGTAATTAAAAACTGGACAAAAACCCACTCGTCATCTCCTACTCATAAAGCTTAATTAAAATTAAAAAAAATTATGCAGAATAACCTTTCTTGATAAGGGTATTTTAAAAATAACTATCAAAATAAATTTAATTATTTTTAGTCATATTTAATTATGATTTGATAAAAATACCCTTGAAACTATTTCAAATAAGTTAAATCATTTATTACTATTTTTTTCTATTTATGCTTCCAATTTTTCTCTCTCACCATCCCACTCTCTCTAATTTTATCGATTTCTCTATTCGACATTTGTTTATTATGCTGCCAATTTCTCTCTCTCACTCTTTTAGATTTTTCTTTCCAGCACTTTGAAGACACTAAATGATGATTTTGATGTACCGAATTGGATCAATTCGGTATCTAGATACCAATAAATTTAAAATTTTAAAATTTATAATAAATCTAGGGTTTATGGTGAATATTTTATTCGATTTTTAACATTACGCGTAATAATCTAACCATGTCGTGTAACGTGTTTTTATACATGACGTGTAATAACTTAACCATAACGTATCACATATTTTTGTATATAACATATAACATCTTAATCATAATATATAACATGTTTCTGTATATAGAGTGTAATTTCATTATAAATAATTTTTTCTAATTTAGTTAAAAATAATTAAAATTATTTAAAAAATTATTTTTAAAAATAAGTTATTTTTAAAAATGTTCCATTAAAGTATGTGGCCATTATCTCAATTCCCTCGTCACAACCACACTGCGCACTGATGCTAGCACCAATCGAACCCTGAGATTGCCCATCGCTTTCTTAGCTTGATGGCTGATTCCTTTGGGTAAGAAGGCTTTTGCAGGCTCGGGTTTAAACTTCAGATCACCACGATCCTTACCAAGACTTAAGTTCAGCCCGTCAATGACTCCATTATGGACTTATATGGTCTGTTTGCCCAATCAAAAAGGCGGCCTTAAGGTCACGATAAAGTTTCCAGACTGCCGTAATGTCATTTTCTGTTAAATGTGCAGTTCGTAAATTAGTCATCTAGTTGGCGTGAATCTGGGCACCTGGACAGAAGCATGTGATCGTTTTCAAATAAAGTATATGCACTGTATATATGTGACAAAATGCTAAAGAAGATTCATTCGTTTTCTTTCCCATGAAGGGTTAGCTGGTCAGCCGCGACAGGACGAGCTGGGGAAGAATGGAATCAGGGCGGTTAGTGGAACGCGAAAGTAAAATTCTAGTGCTCTGCGTTCCGTCAAGCTTCCAAATTCTTGGATAAATGCCGTGAGGTATTGGTGCTCGTTCTCGTAAGGGGAATGAACGCTACCCAAAGTCGCCAAATTGGAAAGCTCAATGAAAATGGTGGCTGAACCCAGGTGACATCTGAGTTCAATCCATCCTTTTTCTGCTTGTTTTACCTTAGGAGAAGGGACCGCCACATATGAATTTTTCAGGCGTAGCTCAATAAAGTGTACTCAAAGCATCAAATTTTTTCCTTAGAAGGAAAAAAGATATACATGTACTATGCCTTTACTATTTTATTCCTTCTTCCGCCAACTCAAACAATCGCAAAGCATACCATTCGTGTCACTTCTTTCCTTATTATTCCATAAAATTATAGGTACAAAGCCACACTGAAAAATATAAGCAAATTGACAGATCGAGAATTGGTATCAAAACCGTCGGTTACCAAGTCTTCTTCCTATGATGCATTTTGACAGACCAAAAATTGATATTTGGCTGTTAATCTATGATTCACGGAAGACACTAGAAAGAAAATATATTTGGCAAACATAAAAATATGGATTAAAAATTTAATTCCAAAAATTAAATATGATTGGTGAAATCCAATACATTTATTGCATTTTGTGGAGATGGATAAAGCTGCATTGAAGATTAGCCAAAGCCTGCATCACCTACCAAGCGTCCCAGATCTACCTTCTCCATAAATGCTTAAGATATTTTGTGTGGGCGACTACGGAAGTAACTACTAATTGTTTTCTCAAACCAAGTAGGCTCTAAGATTTCCGTACCGAAGTATCAATAAAAAAATTTATATAGTATTTAAATAAAAAAATTTATATTATTTTTAAAAAATTAAAATAAATTTTTATTATTTTAATATATTTAATTAAATTTTTATATTTTTATTTTAAATTAAATAAGTTTTTACACATTTATTTTAAGTCAAATAAATTTTTACAACTAATTATCTATTTAGTTAAATATCATTTATTATTTTATACTCATGTGATATTAGTGTGACTTGTTAACATGTTACAAAGAATAATGACATAATATGTCGATGTAACATGATAACATAGTAACAAAGCATGATACACCATAATGTAACATTTTTCACTTTCCACAACAATACTACTTGAGTATAAAATGATAAAGTGTTTGACAAATAAGAATGAGTTAACCATTAATCATAAAAATTTATTTAACTTAAAAAATATATATATAAATTTAATTGAATGTAGTAAAAAAATAAAATTTTATTTAAATTTTTTTACATAATTTAAAGATTTTTTCAAGTATTGTGTCAAAAATTTTATATAAATCAAATCAATAATCTATCCTAAAAATAACATAATATCAAAAAGTTATCTTTTTTGTCATTGTACTTTCATTATAAATTCATTATTTTTACATACACATAAAAGAAGTAATAAGATAATAATAATAGTAAAATCTCACATCAATTAAATTAAAGATACTTTGAAATTTTAAATACAATTGATTTTAATTTTGATACGTATTAAAATTTTAATACTCCAAAATTAAAAACAATTCAAACAAAGCAAAAAGCTTAGGCTCGAGTCCTTAAAGAAGATAAAGCTTTCATTAGTTTTGTTTGCTTTATTAAGAAGCAAATATTAAATATAATTTTATTGATAAAGGAAGGTGGTGGTTAAACGTGATCGTAATTATATATCAAAACATGGAAAACATGTTTATAAACAATTGCTCTTAATGTTTTATGGTTGGCCACATTTCATTGTGATCAATTACTCAAATACGTAATAAGATCTTCTTTCCTTGTCGATATTGTTTGAACATACTCATCATATGCCTTATCCTCGAGTCATATTTTTTTTAGTTTTCATCCCAAAAAAGAAATGTTGATGAAACTTTTAGTTTCAACGACAACAGAAAAAGTTGATTTATTTACCATGTATTAACAATATTCATCAAAATAATAAAGAAATAACTAGTTAGAATGTTTTAATTTATTTTAATAAAATGACCAAAAAATTAATTAATGTGTATTGATTTTCAATTAGGTTAAGATTTATCTAATATTTCTAAGCGTTTAATTAATGATAATGACATTGCCATGACACCTCTATGACATTTCTAAAAAAATGTTATCTTATCATGCAAATGTCATTCACAATTACGACGAGAGGAGAAAGTTTCTTGGCTCATTCTTGGATTAGTG